CCTCGGGACATGTTGCGGGTATTTCCTTGCCGTATCTCGAAGCTTTGGAAGGTGGAGAATGATATGAAGCGCCAAACCGAGGACGTTGACCTGCAGGCTTATCAAGTCGGATGCAGTTAGGAGCTTGAAGAAAGCGAAATCTCAACATTGGACGTACGTAGTTTCCCACCCATCTTACGACTTCTCATATTCATACATGCAGACAGCGGCATTCTCGACGAAAATATCTAACCGCTCCAATTGGTCAATCTTGACCTTGGTTGCTTCAATCGAGCCGAATGAACCAAGATCAACGATCCACAGCTCAAAATTCTGGAAGCCTGTCTTCGTCCTCAATTCTAAATAAGATTGTGAATCTGTGATATACTGGGCACTAGCCTACTCGGACTCTATTGTCATTGAGAATCAGTGGACCGGATACGCTCCGCTACGTATCAGCAAACCTGCATATCTGATCTCCAAATGCTCTGCAAGCAAGCAAGCTCACCGCCGGACACAGAGGGACCTGGAATTGTACCGACTCGAGAGCTCATGAGTGGCCGGTGACACGCTCCCTACCGGCATCGACATGCTGGTCGTGCTAGCCCCTCGTGTACGGTTGAACTTGTGAAGGTCACAGTGCGAGTCTAATATCGGACCGATTGGGTAGCTAGAAAGTACCTGTCCATTCAATCTCACCGGCCCACCGGCAAATGACCATGTTCTCCGACAATCTCCGTTTTCGTTTAGTATGAATGAGCTTGGGTAGGCTGCGACACCCTGGCTCGACGCTGTTCATCTCCGAGATTAGTTAAGTGGAGTGACTGGCACTTTACAATCCCAATACGTACACGGAAGCCGCTATGTCAATCTTGCTAAGTCCGAACTGTTCGTAGTAGTACAACTGCAATGTATGTCCATAACCCCCAGATTCGTTCTACCCCTCCTCAACAGCTCGCCTCCTCAGCCTGCTTCCTCTTCCCCATCTCGCCTTGGAATGCCCCATCAATATGGGCATCCGCTATCTTGGAGGCCAAACTTCTGGCCTGCAGCGAAAAGCCCCTCAACCCTTCGTCGTTCGAATTGAACACACTTCCCACAATTATTGTCCTTCTCCTTGCCTCACGGGCAATCCGGATAAGCATCACGTAGAACGAGATGCATATAACCGAGGTCATCTGTACGAAAGACGTCAGCCCAGATTCCCTTCAAATTAAAAAACATACCGAATAGACGACTACTGGCTGCCACACCGGCCTCCGGACATACACAAAGATTGTCATGGATAATGAGAACGTGTAGAGCATGCCAGCGTCAATGGCCACCCTGAGGAACGCCATAAGCGTCGACCGCGCTGCACCTATCCGGAACTCGGAGTTTTCCCGGTCAATCCGCCAGATTTTGAATGCCAGGAGACCTGTAGTTGTGGTTAATATCGGAAGAAACGTTCTGGAGAACAAGGAGAGAGGAACGTGGAGTCACAGGGCCCCGGGAGAAGTTGATTTACCAGTACTAATCACGTTGGTGATTAAAGATGCAACAAAGAATGAGGTTGTCCACCGTCTGATACGTAGAAGCTCGTCGAATGTCCCATTATAGACTAGAACATTGGCAGCGACGTTGCCTATAACGGTCACTGGAAGTCGATTAATCAGCGCCTTAAACTAGACCGAACGGCGAGAGACGAGCGTACCCAACAACCCAAGCCACAATAAGAACGGTATAGCCGCTACCACCAGTTTTGATTTCCATACCAGGATGCCTCGGTACGCCTGTTAACAATACTCTGGTCAGTACAAGGCTCATAAGGATCCGTACAGGTAGCCATGGTACTCACAACGACCGCGTCTACAAGCAACGTCAAGATCATAAACAAGTAACTTCGTTCTCTCTCCGGACCTTGTTTGATTCGGACGAGATACGAAGCTGGGCTGATATCCGTCTGGTGAGTGGGATCCTTGAGATGACGGGCGAGATCTTGGACGGCTTGAACAAGGTCCATGATTACAATCTATAGAGTACGTTAACGAGGGTATTTGAAATTCAAGTCAATCTATGAGGCACCGTAGTCGAGAGAAGGAACAATGCGATAGCAAGAAAAACTGCCCTCTTCTTGACAGGTCGACGCGAACCAGCGGCAGAATTTCGTATGTTTGATTTCCCCAGTAGTTCATTGAGCGTGATCACGAAGAGGGGTATAGATGCTCCTGGAAGAGACGAAGACACGCAGGGAAGAAGAAGGATTAATCGTCGTATCAAAAACACTGGTCTTCGACGCAAACTAGAACACACCATAGAGCGTCCAATCTATTGTCAACCCCACAAATTTAGAAACACTGCGAGTGAGGTCGTTGTCCTTCATTGGGTACTATTCATCGGTCGTCGAAACGGAAAACGTCCGGAATGCTCGCTTTGCGACAGTGAGGGAAGTTGAAAAAACCCCACTCAACGGATCATCCTGATTAAGAGTCTAGCCGTCTACCCACTGTCAACAATGTCTATGTCTGCCCATATCCCTAAGATGAGACCCGAGACGTTAATTAATGGGAGTAATACGTTTGACGCCAGCACCCCTAGGAGTTCCCGCGTTCAGATTCCATAAAGGGGCGGTGGCGGGAGCAGCTGATGTCGATCTGTAGATTATCGCTGCACATCCTGTATATCCTCCTGTGTTCCCCGCAACAATCTCCCAGAGTGATTCAGGGAAACTTCGAATGGATTCCCTGCCAGTCTCGATTATCGGCTAGTTCATACCAGTCGGCTGGGTGACAAGAAACGGCGGATAACCAGAACGGATCTTCATCATGGTAGTACCTCCGCCTGAGATTCGGACGGAGCGAGAAGAGTAACCCCAACTCTACTCACGTCTACCCTCCGGCCGCCGACGAGCTCCCTCTCGTTTCTTGACAGTGGCGACAGGGAGTTGAACGCTCGACGATCGTAATCATTTCCGGTTTCGTCGCTTCGAAAGTGTCCTCGGTGCCGATTTGAATCTCCGTCTTCTTCATTCCCTCCGTACACGTTTCTTGAGTATCAGTTGCGATGTCGTGCACTGAGAACCCTTTCAACGCTTCATCCTTCGGGTTGAATACACTCTCGACGTCTCCGGATCTCGTGCGCGACTCACGAGCGATCCGGATCAGGATAAGATAGAAGCAAATCGATATTATCGAGGGCATCTAGGACAATGGACTCTTGAGCATACCGAGGCAGGAATGAATAGGACCTTCAGAAACGTACCGTGTTTACGAACGCATCTTTGCATATAGACTGTGTGATGTAGGCCCAAATTGTTACGGATAGTGTGATAGTGTAAACCAGTCCTGAGTCGACAACTACTCGAAGGAAGCCCATCAGTGGCGATCTTTTGATGCCAACTCGGAATTCGGATGATTCCCGGTCAATTATCCATATCTTGAACGCAAGGAGACCTATAGGCAATATTTAAGGCCTCAGGTTGAGTCTAGAATCGTCGAACAAAGTATTGTAAGGACGCACCCGTACTGATGACATTGGCGATCAATGAAGCGATGAAGAAAGATGTAGTCCAACGTCTAATCTCGATAAGTTCTTTCCGACTTTCATCGTGGATCGTGCCTATAGTGACCATGGTACCTATAACAGTGGCTGGTGAACGAGCAGATCAGTTCGAACACGGTGACTTTAACCTATATAATAGCAGAGGCTCACCCAAAAGGCTCGTCCAAAGCACCCAAGGGATCGCGGCAATCACTGGTCTCGCTCTCCACACCAAAGACCCACGATACGACTATTTGGGTGGACCACGGCCGCGTGAGATTTGCATGTAACTTCTAGTGTAAGGTGGAAGACTCACGACGACTGCATCTGCTAACAAGGTGATCAACATGAACGCATACCCTCGCTCCTTCTCAGGCCCCTGTTTGATTCTCGTAAAATAGCTCGCTGGGCTGATTTCGGTCTGGCCGGTTGGATCCTGAAGATGTCGAGCGAGCCCGCCAAGGTCTTGAATGATATCTGATACAATGACCTGCATGAAGTCCCTAAGCTTGATCCGTTGTATCGACAACAAGGGACACGAGAAATCGAACCATTGTCGTAAGTAGGAACAGGGCGAACGTAGCGAGTATGGCTTTCTTGTTGACCGCCGGGTGGTAAATAGAGCTTTTTGGATTATGGCGAAGGGGTTGGAAGAGTTCTTTGAGAGTGATGATGAACAGAGGCACGCTACAGCCTGTTCATACATAGCAAATCAGCAACGGGAAGACGAGAAGAACTTAGGAGACACACCATAGAACCCCCATTCTACAGCCAACGCAGCAAAATTGGCAATGTCAAATGCAATATCGTCGTTGCTCATATGATTTTTCTTGCGCTGAGGCCGACGTGAAGGAGCAGGATCGCAGGATCGAGAGGAGATGCTTCACGGGAAAGGGTTATTTTATGCTAGTCCAGGAATGGAGACCTAAAGTGAAAATGTCTAAGGTCTGCTTCCGGTTCTCGATTCTGAGCGGCAACATCCGTACATCCGCCCCTGTGTAGAGGGCAGCTCGGCGAGAGGTTATCATCGCCTCAGACGAGAAGCCCGTTGGCGACTGACCCGTGTATTTCCTTCCTTGGGAGATTAACAGGTACAGCTTTCTGAGGCATCAGACGTGAAGGCGCACAAGTTATATCGTTCATGTGAGCGGGACGACAGCGTGGGATTGGTGCCGGCGATACTTACTCAACGGAAATAACTTTATACGCCGCCACACAGGTGATTGGAGAATAGATGGGTACGAAGGAGTCGCTGCGGTAAAGATGACCGATGACAGAACGCTCAACATGCCTGCCTACTATCCTGGCTTCAGACCGGGCTATCCAGCTCTGACAGCTTTAATGGGGTTGAAAGAAAGCAGCAATGTCAAATAGGTTGTGTCTAGAATGCACGACATGGTGGTTTGAGACAAAAATCCTACTTCATACGTCATCAAGGACGGAACTTCGCTTTTCCACCGCTCAGGCCCATCATGGAGCATTTGATACAGACTGCGATGTACTCCGATGTGGTGTAGTGGCTAACATTGCTGTCTTTCATCTCAGACCTGAGAGAACTACACAGCAGCCCGGGGTTCGATTCCCCGCATCGGAAATTTCAGTGAGACGTTGATCTTTGATTTTTGCTTCCCCGACTTCATCAATATTCTCAGCACTGCGAGTTATAGAGTACCTCGATGTACATAGAGCATTTCTCTGTGCGAGTCGGGACTCGGCTTTCAAGTTCAGTGGCCGATGTGAAAGATCAGCCGGGTACTGCCGAGAGTCACGTGCCATTGATTGTCCTTGGGCCTTGGCTCGCGTTTGTATTCATCCAATATTCATCTCACCAAAATCCGGACCTTCTCAGCCTAACGCTCTGCTTTCATGCTCTGAAAGCTTCTCTTTTGCTAAATCACGCCTCTTAAACTTACTCGATCTCATCGGAAAGGGAACCTTCTCACTCAGTGCAACCTCCAAAGCAAGGCCCAACGCGAACGTTGTTTCAGGATCTCTCCCTCGCGGATGCCTCGTCGCTGCTATTATGAAGTATAGTGCTTTTAATGAGACTCTCAAAATGTGAATGAGACTGTGGATCGAGAATTGGTATTGGATCAACTCACGGTCGAGGTACGTTCGTCCTTGTTTGCATGCAATCATGCTCCCATCTGAGTCTTGCCCAGTGTTCAATGCTATGACCCGGAACATAGAGTCTCGACAATGAACACTATTATTCGAGCCAGAGCTGCAGGGGTATCAGCACGAACCTTGTCCGTCCTCCCAGCCCACTGTCACCTACACTCATCACCTCTACGAGTCCAACTCGGATGTTGCTCGCCAGGACGCTATTTGCTGATAGGCTCTAGGTGCAGAGACATTTCGTTTCGCGGTGATTCGCGGCCGTAACGTCAAACGAACTCGACAGGGTCGGAAGTGGACAATATGCTCCGGTATGTTTTGCTTTTTTCTTCGAAGCTGAGGTCGATCTCAACTGACGTCGGAACACCAGAAAAGACCGACAAAGCGGTAGGAGATGTTCCACAGTGCGTTCTACGTATATGACTGGTTGAGTCTATGATTGTGAGAATGTTTATGTTCTCTTTCATTCGTAGGGGTGCTCACAGGCATCCGATGGTACAGTCCATGATATCGGGTACAGTCGGACGATTGATCTAGCCATGGAAGGACCGTGTTACCTTGAGTTGATAGGTCAGAGGTGTCAGAGAATGAGAACGACGGAAGAAAGCGGTGTGTCTACACACACTCCTCCGAGAGAAAGTCCTGGCTTACCCGTCACGCCTACGTTCTCTATCGGTAGAATTACGGAAGATTTATTCTGGGCTTGGGGTGGTAGTCTCGCCAGGTCCAGACGCGCAGCTATTTCTTGGGGTGGCACCGCCACGTTTTGTCTCCACGTTCCTCCCTGACAGAACACATGGACTGGAGGTTTGCCGTTCTGGATCCGCCTGGTCAAACGCTTATGGCAATTCGAGGCTTGGGCTTCCTATAAAATGGCAAACATCATTCTTAGGACGTCGTCATACACAACTCATACTTCCTACGACTTGCAATCATGAGGCGGTCTGTCGTACTTACTGCGACAGCCCTCTCACTGTTTCCTGCATACGTCATTGGCAATCCGCTCTTCCCTCCTCATTACGCCAAACGAGTTGTTTATAGTGGCGAGCTCCAACAATCCTACGACTTTGTTATCATCGGAGGCGGACAAGCGGGATTAACTCTTGCATCGAGGCTTTCGGAAGACTCGAATACGACGGTTCTGGTTATCGAAGCTGGAGGGGACGGGAAAGATGTACAGGAGAAGATTAGTATGTGTAAATCCCCAGCTCAAACCGTGCGCTTCTAACTGTTCATTCAGGTACACCGGCTTTCACATATCTCAACTCTGTAACTCGCTCAGAGAACGATTGGGCTTTCCCGGTAGCCCCTCAAACTCATCTCGAAAACCGTGCGATGTCATGGCCGGGAGGGAAGGTCCTCGGAGGTTCCTCAGCTATCAACGGGATGTACTCTGTTCGTCCATCGGAAATTGAGGTGGAGGCATGGTCACAGCTCGCAAATGAAGGGGGTGCGGCCAAGGCGTGGTCGTGGAGTGAGTTCCATGCGGCGATGGAGAAGTCGCAGACGTTCAGTACGCCAAAGGACGATGTCAAGGAACTCGGAAAGATTACTACGGACGGACAGGGTGGAGGAGGTGGCGGACCTATTCGTGTTGGGTATCCTGGATTGTGAGTGTTCGGTCATCTGCTAGATGTATCTGACCTAATGATCCGTCTCGTTCAGTATGTTCTCCACAGTCGGCGACTTCAACACCGCCCTCAAACAAGCAGGCATCACCACCAACTCTGACCCATACTCCGGAAAAACGTGGGGAGGATTCGTAGCCCGGTCATTCATCGACTCTTCCAGCTGGACACGGTCGTACTCTCGTTCTGCCTACATCGACGGTGGGGCGGACTCCCGACCTAATCTGTCAATTCTGGTCAAGTCAACAGTCACAAAGATCGTTTTTGACTCGAACCACACTGCTGTTGGTGTCGAATATGCCGAGACTCGTGATGGTGAACGACATAGTGTCCGTGTTAATAGGGAAGTTATCCTGTCGGCCGGAGCGGTGGGGAGTCCACAGGTTTTGATGCTGAGTGGGGTTGGGCCGAAGGATGTTTTGGATGCTGCGCGTGTGCCAGTTCAAGTTGAGTTGCCTGGGGTTGGGCAGCATCTACAGGACCATTTGGTGCGTGTTACTGGTTCATCGAAAGTTCAGGCTACTGACGAGTTACGTAGTCTACTCTGGTAGTCTACGAAACTAGCACGGATACTTCGGCCAAATTGTACAAAGACGGCTTGGTACGTCTGCTTGCGTCTTATTGTTGTAGGTTCTCTACTTACGATGCCCTTCCTTAGAACACCCCCGAGTTCCTCTCATTTGTCAACTCTGCTATCGCATACCTCAACACGTCGTACCTTTTCGGAGATGTTTCCGAGTTCCAAAAGGAGGTCGAAGGGCAGTTCTCCGAGAGCCTGATTCCTAGTACCTCCCCGGAAGTTCTTGCGGGTGCGAGGGCGCTTTATGACCTTCGGGCAAAGACTCTTCTACCGAGTCCGGTTGGCCAGATCGAGCTACTTTTCGGAATGATGTTTGCGGACTCGGTGTCGATAGGAGTGGGGATTCAGCAACCATTCAGGTGAGCTTACCTTGGTGTTCTCTCATCGGAAGGATACTGATGGTATCCTTGATTCCATAGTCAAGGACGACTATACATCAACTCGTCCTCGGCATTTGATTTCCCGGTTATCGACCCCAACTACCTCGCACACCCAGCTGGTAAGTACAATGTGCTCACTTCTCGGAATGACTCGAGCTAACCTGCCCTCTCTGCAGACAAAGTCATCGTTCGTCAGGGTATCAAAGCCGCTCGACTCGTCGGCGGCCAGTCAGCCCTCCACAGCTCGTTCTTGAGCGAAACCTCCCCGGGATCGAGCGTTGTAACGGACGAAGACATCGAAAAGTGGCTCGGAGGACAGATGAACGTGGGATACCATCCCTCATCGTCGTGTGCAATGATGCCTCTGTCGAAGGGCGGTGTCGTTGACGGGAATTTGAAGGTTCATGGGTTGAGTAAGTTGATCTCGTTTTTGTGCTTTGGCATCGTAGTAACTTATCTTTGAACAGACAATGTTCGTGTGGTGGATGCGTCGGTGTTCCCATTCGTGTTTAGTGCTCATGTAAGGCTTCTGTGACGAATTTCGTGCGGATTTGGTCGCTGACTTCCTTCGATCATAGCTTGGACAAGCCGTCTATGGGCTAGCTGAACAAGCTGCCAATATTATCCGCGCCCAATACAACGGCGGTGTCGCCCCAGGGTCGGATTCGACATCCGGCTCTGGCTCAGGGTCTGACTCAGGCTCGCAGGGTTCGAACGGTGCTACCGTTGGGTACGTACCTTCGTACCTGTCGTTATGGATATCGGTCGTTTTTGGGACCACTGCGTGGACGTTACTTTTCTTGTGATAGTTGTTTCGTTCGCTCCTTGTTCACGGGGATTTGTTTCTGTTCCTGGGGGGACAGTCCTTTCTTCTATTAATATCGGACCTTACATTCGCCTTCAACCTCCACTAATATTGTCATTCATCCGGGACATCTGTTGTACTGTATCTATAGGTTTTCTTCTTATCGTAGTTCTACATACATATATACCACCACCCGCTCTCTCAGTACTCTACCATATTTTCAACTATGAAAACATGAAACGAATGACGGTACAAATTTGGGGCCAGTATGCCTCCATTTTAAAGGTATTCGATACCGCGATGAGCATAATCTATATATGGCAAATTCATAGAGCTCGCGTTGACTCCGAGTTCGACCCATCAGACCATTTCAAACACGGTCAGTAGGCCGTGCTGAAAGTCTACGGTGACTAGCTAAGCCGCGGGAGACATCTTTGATTGTAGCCACCCATATACGCACAAGACCAGCAATTGCAACTGATCGCTCTATAGGATAATGCGCGGGCCAAAGTCGGTGGCCCTGTTCGGGCACTTCACAGCTGTGGGGAAATGGTCAACACTAGATTAGTCCTTATCACTGTTGTGTGTTGTACCTCTGTACCTCTTCCTCTTTGGCCTCCAATACACTATGATTTTTCACATTCCGCTCTTTCTGTGAGTCTAATGCCTTTGCTCGAGCGAACACCCACACTTAAACAATAGCAACCTGTTCTTCTTTTGTCTAAAACCGCACTGTTTCCTTTCCTCGCGGTTGGCTCCGATGGCTTTGCGCTTATGGGGGTCCCGCCGCATGTGGAGCCTAACCAGAGCATCGAGGTTGCGTGGACGCGTTAACCTGGCAATATGACGAAGTTTGCTATCCTAGAGTCTCTATTGCCAGTGGCCACGCGCTCGAATGGAGGACTGTTACTACGAGACGGCAGAGGCAGATACTGCTCTAGAAGGTCGAGTAGAATTGAAGTTCAAGGACATTGAGGATGTCGTAAGTTTTCTTCCGAAGTGATTGAGATCTTTCGTCAGAAAGACTGTGCGTATGATATTGGAAGCGGATCTGTAATAGACTGGATGGATGGAATTGCTCCA